ACAAAGGAAATCATTTTCCTCTACATACCTGCCCTTCCACTCAAGTTAGGTGGATCTGAGAATAGGATCTGAGCTCCCAAGTCTATCCTTATTCTTTTAATTCCAGATGATCTTACACAGGGCTGTTTGCGACCTGAGTTTGTTTCATGTTTCAGCTCATACCGAGGGAGGCAGCTTTGTCAGTTCTCCAGCAGCCTAACTCCAGAATGGTATTAGACAAATGCCATTAGTGGATAGACAGTTTCTGCTCCGCTTTGTTTCCCACAGCACTTCATACAACCATTAGTTTGTCTGGCTGCTGAACATAGGAATGAGGAATAACACAGGGAGCATACTAGAAGCACTGCTATGCTCCTTTGCAAAAGCAATACCTGTTTTTCCCCGATCATCATAGCAACAGCACAAACTAACCTCCAGAAAGTGTTATCTTCAAATTAGAGATACGCAAGCACAAAGTTGTAGGCAGGCTGATTATTTCTTTAAAAGAAAACAGGTTTAGGTCAAAAGTGCTGGCCTTAAACACGATGCCCCATCCAAAAGGCTCACTGCATTCATTTTTGTTGCTTAGCTCCAGCAAGGGTTGGTTTTGGTTTTTTTTTTTTTTTTTTCTGAACATAATGGCCTTTCTGAAGCTCCCAGGGACGGTAACCAGAAGACTCAACAGACAGAAATGCAAGCCTTGTGTTCAGACTTCTAACTCATGAACAATTTGTTAGCCAACACAACAGCCAGAGATGTGAACAAGGTGAACAAAGCATAACAAATACAGAAAAATGCAAAATACGGCATCAGCATTAACTTGTCCCTTTAGAACAACCTCTGACAACACAATATGTATGGATATTCACAGGGTCTCTTTTTTAATCATCTGAGAATATCACCTGAAGAGAACACAGCATAGTTGCTCCGTTGCATAAACAACCGAGGAACTCATCATAGTGGATGTGGAGACAACGCCATGGCGTTTTGTTCTCCTCTCCACAATGGAAGACATGAATCATGGGACAGCTTTCTGGGGGAAATCGACTTCATTCTTGTTACATGGTAAGTTTAAGGGTGCTGTAAAAACTATAGATGAAACACCTGGCATACAGTTATTGAACACCACATCTGAACAGTACTTCTAATCAATATCTTTATCAAGTAGCACAAACAAATAAGCCTAATTATTTCAGCTTCCAAAAAGCTGTTATGTTCATGAAACACCAGCTAGTTTTTCAGTGCCCATCTTACATCCTTTTAAACAATATGAAGCAGCCTGTCAATCTTGCTCTAAATCATCAGAACTATTCAGTGATAATCACACATTTATCATCCACCATTGCAGCTTTCCTAAATTTCACTACAGCTCTACACAAAGCAACAATGCTTTCTTCTTTTTTTTTTTTTTTTCTTTGCTACTTAGGATTAATCATTACATGAATGACTCACACCCTGACTGGGCACAATAAAATGATGTCACCTCATTTAAAAATAAAATAAAATCAGAGACCCAGTGGTTATAATAATACCCTTCCCCACTCTATTTCTTCTCCGAGTCAGAGAAAACATCTCACCCAGCTGCAATCAGTGCCCACCTAATACTTCTCCGAAAAACATGAGCATTCCTTCTGAATTCTGACTGAAGGAAAACCAAGGCCACAAAGCAAGCTACGTGGTGAAAGCCCACATGCTCCTGCACAGACACAACAGCCACCCACCTTCTACCAGGAAGCGTTATCATCTACAATTTGTAAACTTTCTGCTCCGATTTATAAAGCCAAATGTTTGCTCAATGGAATTCCACTTCAACGTCACCAAAGAGCAGCCTCATTTTAACCAAATATGAAGCACAGTCTATATCATATTTCTGGTATCTTTCTGGAAAGTTCCCACATCCTTCAGCCATCATCATCCAGCATGTAGTTTATGATCAACCGTTTTAATTTATATTTATACCTGCGTGATTTATACCATATATTGGCCTGCATTTATCACAGAAGGCATTCTGAAAAGCACTGCCAAAAAAAAGCGTATTTTACAGTACAGCACAGCCTGTGTATCTGTACTATAATATTTTAGTACAATTTCAGTATAATAACTTTGAATCTAAAAATCAGGCAAGTAGAAATCTTGCATGGAACTTACAAAGTCTTCTCCCAGGCACTTCAGCATTTCTCCTCATTTTTCTATGCCATTTAAGCTTTTATTTCCAAATGCAGTTTCCCACCCAAGCTAGAGTACTTTTAAATACAGCTTTAAACATGAATCAACACATCACTTATTTACTGATTCCACTTCTCACAGCAAGTCAAAACTAAAGGCTATGTTCAAACACTGTTCAAATCCCACCTTCTGCCTGAGCAGTTCAGGACCGACCTACACTGTTTGTTCAACATCTGAACTGCTGACATTCTCATTTGTTTAAAACAAATCCTTCCTCACCACTCAGGCTGTTGTCTGCCAGCATGTCTGGTACCACTCAAGTGCAAGTCTGTGCAGTTCAGCTTTCATGTTGCTCCCCGCCTCCCTGAACAAACTACGGTACCACCACCTCCTCTGTAGCACCCGCCATAAGCCAGAAATCTAACCATACCTAAATCACGAAGCGTATGCTAGTAGGTGGTTAGTAACACGTCACTCCTGTGCCTGCCTGATGTGTGCTTATAAGCAATGTGCATCTCACAGTGGTGGCTTTTTGTGTGCCAATTGCCAGTAGTTTTCTGTATTGTTAGAATAAAAACCTTGGAGATAGAAGGTGTGCAACTAGCCTGAACATCAATCCAGTTAAAAGCCAGTCTTAGGAGTGCATGAATTCGCGGTCCATCTTCTGAGCAATAACATGCAGGTAAGATACAAACCTCTCATAAATTTAGAAAAGCCTTTTAGTAAGTTAAAAAAAAAAAAAAAAAAAAAAAAAAAAAAAAAGACCTGCAACTTCAGCAGGAAAAGCGCCCAGAAACATTCAAACAAAATCTGGTTTCAGAGGTCTCATATGATATTATAAACAGGAGGAAAGACCTACATAAGAAATCTCATAGGATGCTCAAAGTTTCTTTTGTCTAAGGAGGTTGTGAGGGAGGAGTAGGTAAAAACAAAAAACCACTGGAGAATGCAAACTGCACAGAGGTCAGTCATTCTGTACATCTTGAAATACAGAGTTTTGTGCGTGCTTGTTCCAAGATGCCATTTTTTGAACTAAAAAAGCACAAAAGACAGAAGATCGCCTTTCTGAAAAGCAAGTTCACAATTACAATACTGAAACAATGTAACCAAGTGCCAGAAGACTGAACAGATTGTGACTGCTGCACAAACACATAGAGACTCATTTCGGCCCTTGTCAGATCTTTACACAAGAGCCAGCTATAAGGCTTCTTTATTTGTAGGACAGGGAGCTGCTTCGGCATATACTGACCCTTATAAAAATTAATGTTTCAGTATGGCTGAATTTATATCAAAAATTTAAGAGACTACAATTAAAAGGCATTAGTAAGAAAAGCATGCGTATTTTAGCCATGTGCACTACTTCTAGTTACCTTTTTGAGAAGATTAAAATTAAGCAGCTTTTGCTTTCATCCCACTCACACCCTCCCACTACAAAGTCTGTCTGAGATAATCCTCCTTCTACAGACGTCAAAACAGGGCATACGTATTACAAGGACTCACTGCCAAAATGTGTTGGCTTAATATCCCATTATTATCGTAATACGGGTACAATAACTTATTATACATGACAGCTTATGCTGTTAGTCAAGTACAGATCCACTTACTCTATCGCTTTGTCACCCACCTATAAGTATACTCATAACATTTACAAAGGAGAAAATTAAAGGTCTGAAGGAGATGCGCATCTCAGACGAATGCCAGACAAAACAGAAGGCTCATAAGGTCACACACTTCCTGCCCTCTCATTTCTATTGTCCCAGCCTTTATGCGCAGCGATCGAACCAGAAATTCAGGTCACAGGATTTACAAACACACTGTTTAACCACTTACTTTCTACCCTTTTAAGCTACACTTTCACTGATTTTTATTTATTTGAGTACAGCATTCTCCTTGAAGGCCAAGAAGATCTCCAGCTCCGAACACAATTGGTATGTTAAGTCCATTTGCATCAATATGTTCAGGGTTACTCTTTAGGATCTTGCAGTGCAGAAATACACTAGGAATTTTTTCAAGGCTACAATATTATTTAGGTTTAAATACATAAGAGGGAAAGGACTGCTGTCAAGTACACTAAAGACAACAGGCAAGGAAAGAAAAGATAAACCTGATGCGAGTTACTCCACGCCAGCCACAGACAACTAAACACCAGTGCACTGAAAAAAGCACAGCAGATCTGTAACAACATATTCTATCTAGCAGAGCGCTAAGTATGAAGGCTGTTACCACACGTATTCCGATGAACTCCTGAGTGCATCTCACGGGCTTGCCTGCATGCCTATACGTATATATCTGCGCACAGAGTAAAGTCATTAAACCGGACGGATTCACCTCCGCCTCATTAAGCGCCCAGGTTAAGCCTACACCGCTCCGCCCGCGCGCTGAGCTCCGTGCGCCTCCTGCGGAGCGCGGCTCGGAAGCAAAGTTCAGCGGCCGCGGCCCATCGGAGGCGACCCGACCGCCCGGGGCAGCGCGCTGCCGGCAGAGCCCCCGCCCGGGGAGCGCAGCCTGTGCCGGGCTCACCGCCCGCGTGAGGCAGCGGCTCCGGCGGGACGGACGGACTCCCACCGGCCCTCACATAGGGAACAGCCCGGCCCAGCGCGGGGCAGCCGCGCCGCCGCCAGTGGCTCTGGTAACGCCCCATCCATCCCCGGCCGCCGGTTATCCCGGGCAGGGGGCGCGGGCCAGCGGCTGCGCAGCCACAGCCGGGTCGTGCAGGGGAGCAGCCCGACCGCTCCCGAGCGGCGCTCCGCGCGCCGTCCCACCTGCGCGGCCGGGACAGAGACACACGGATCGCACCTCGGCAGCGGCGGCAGGACGGAGCCACCCAGGACGCCCCGCCCGCGGCACCTCCGTACCTGCCCGGCCGCGCTCTCGCCTCCTCCCGCCGGAGCTGCAGCCGCTGCAGCCGCTCCCGCCACCACGCCGCGGCTCCTGCCGGCAGCCCGCCCAGCGCCCCGACTCGGGCGAGCGCCGCCCCCCACCCCGCCCGCCTGCGCCCCCTGCCGCCCGCCACGGGACGACCTCGCCCCGCCCTCGACGCGACTCCCCCGACGGGGCGGGGCTGCCAGCGCCACGAGGCCTGCCGGGTTGGTCTCGCGCCGCCTTCGCGGCCGCCGGCGCGGAGTCGGAAGGGCGGCGAGCTCCGCGGCTGGGCCCGAGGCGGCGCGAGGGGCAGCGATCGTTCCGGCCATCACGTCCCGCCCGCCCCATCACCGCGCTGTGGGGGACGCGGACGTGGCGTCTGCGACTGCCGGCGGCTTGTCCCTTCCTCCTCCCACGCTGTGCGGTTCCCCAACTTCCCGCCCCACGCACGGTCCGAGCGGGTGGCAAGGAGCATCCTGCTGCTGCAGCTCGGAGCCGGGCCGAGCGGTTGCTGCTAGGGTCCGTGCAAACAGATGTCGCTCACCTAGTGCAGCTGGAAGCTGTCATGTCATTCACAAGAGCCCTTCAGAAGTGTCACAGAATCACCAAGGTTGGAAAACACCTCTAAGATCATCCAGTCCAAACATGAAGTGCCAGCTCCAAGCTCTTGTCAAAGGGGAATTCCATGAATTTCAGTACATCCCTCGGTTCTGTTAATGCAAGCGAAGCCATTTCGTAACTCCCCAGAAGTCTACCAGGATTCATCACTAACAAAGACAGTTCCCACGTTATTGCTTCTTCCCTTCACAGAAGCCAACTCCAGGGGTGCCTGTTTCTTCCTACATAAAGGCACTGCTTCAAACCCCGATTTTTCATCTATCCCTGAAACAGATTCTATAACTACTACTGCAGACTGGAGGAGCACCAAAATGGCCCCGCTTGAACACTTTCATGCTGATCCCACACAAGCAGTCCCAGCACCAGGCAGCTCACAGCAGTGCCAGCACCCTGTCACCACTGTGTTGGCCACGGGCAGGAGGCAGCGCCAAGGGCAGGTCACACAGCTGCCTGCTGCCACAGGGTCACAGCGAACAGCAGTCACTGCCCTGCACACAGAGGCAGGAAGCCAATTGTGCTCTGACACTACAACCACAGAGTCACCGCACCTAGCTAAAGACTGGGCATGCTGTACAGCTGCCTGGGCTGATAGGATTTCAGCTGGACATGCCCCGAGATTCTTCATCTTTCACCTTCTGGGAAAAGCAGTGCATATTTGAGTACTTTTGACTGACAGACTGTGCAGCAAAGTGGAAGCTGCCCTGCGGCTGAGCAGCCATGAGCCTGGTGCCTTTCCCTACTGCTGCTGTCTAAAAACGACATCTAGAGTTGCTGAGCAGCACAGTGGAACCTCTGCCAGCCAACAGCTGCACAGCACACACAGAAGCTGCTGTTCCTCCCAGCTAGCAGCAGCACATCCGATTAGAGCTCATCTATCATCAGGACTTTTTTTCTTTTTAGAGAAGTAATGTCAACCATCTTAAATATCTAGAATGTTTTACAGAAGAGAAATTTACAGGAGAAATTCCAGGGCTCTAGCAGTGACACTTCTGACTGCTGTTCACTAGCACACTTCAGGGCATTGCAGGATTGCAAAATGCCCACAAACACACAAACAATTTTGGCCTTTCCCAACACAGAATGCATGCTTTACTGAAAAACCATCTCCATATGGAAACAATGATTTATGATGGCAGCAAATGCTTGCCAGCACAATTACATTTCTACCTCGATCAGAACAATGTACAGTTCACATAGGATTTGGAATTTGGGAACTGCTGATCTGTTCTCCTTGCAACGGATTTCACTTCCTTCATTGAATGCTTTCAATTTACAGCCTAAAATAAAGTTGCCTGGCTATACAAAAGAATATAAATCTGCTAGAGATGCTCATTTTTTATACCCATCACATAAAAGACTATATGAACTCAAAAGTTGTTAGCATCTTGAAAATTTCTCTGCGGAACACCAGACACTTGGGATTTACAAGGATGAAATCAGAGGAGAAACTGAATACACAGAGGACAGAGCAACTGCAGCTGCTATCTTTGGAGCAGACTTGGAGTGATGTGCAGTGCCTCCACATCACTTTGCTTGGTATTCTGGTCATCCAGACCTACTTTCTCCTGTATAAATCCATAAATTTCCAAATAGCATGCATACTATTTACATCATCAGAAATTACTTCTCTGGCAATATCTTTTTACGGTACCCTTACAGTTCAGTGAATTAACTATGAATTAACAGATATTTTGGTGCACTGGCCAAACTGCAGCTGGACTCACACTGAGTTAGATAACACCCAAGAGTTGATGTTGAGACAATCCCCAAAGGTCCTCTGTCTGACCTCTATCCCAAGAGGTAGATTGACAGTCTGAATTCAAAGGATAACTGGCTGTGAAATTCAGCCCCATCATCCAAGGGAGGTAGCACTAATTTTATGGTTTACTTAGGAGATCCCGATTCTTATTCTCCTAAAAATAAAGAATCAAGTTTATTCCAACTGTTGTATTTGTCTATAGGCTGTATTCCCTTATTCTCTACTGCTTGAACTCCTCTTTGTCCCAGTTACCTCCTAAGACGATGGCTGGAAACAGGCACAGGAAAACAGACCCCTTTTTCACAGATACCAATATAATTGTGAAGAAGGCATTGCTTATAAAGAATTAAACAATACATACAAAAATTAAGAGGAAGACTATTAGGGAGAAAAAGGAAAGAAATATTTCCCAGCCCCCCAGATTTATACCAATGTCAGGTGTTCCTGGCCTCTTCCCAAGATGAAACTCCTGAAGAAACAGTTTCTTGTTAACTGTCGAAAAATCTCTTTTATATTTTAGGGAGTGCTTCAGAAGGGGAGATAAGTAAGGATTCCTATGCTGCTGGGCCTTCTGTTGCAGTGCTAACTTTCAGCGGGTATCCAAAAGAACAGATATAGAGAAAGCTAATGGCTGCACCTCAGCCAGAGATCTGGCCTCTACAAACTTCATCTTAGCTCTCCTTCGAAATGGTGCCCCTGTAGAGAACATTTGAGTGTATTAATATGGAGTGACTACAGTGTATTTGATTCTTAGCAGTATATAAATGAGTAACATTCTTAAAGTGCAATGTTGAATTTCATGCTATTTAAAGAAGAAGTGTCAACATAACTGGTATTCATTTCTGAACAACTGAATAACTGTGTTCTGTTTATACACTTCATATCCAAGATAAGGGTTTTAGCTTTCCTTGAATGATGCAAAGAACACTGCAAATTAAGTAAGAAAGTTTAATGAGAAAAGACTTATTCATGACAGTGACCCAACTAAAATCATGAACAAGGAGTTGACTTATTAGAAACAAGTAATTGTACTTGTCCCAAACTTTCATTTTGTGTGCCACTCATTTTAAGCCTGCGTGTGCCTTTTTGTGACAATTAGCAAGAAACCTGGGATAGAGCTTGCAAATATCCAGTGCTTGCTTCTAATACAGAAGCCAGGTAAACTAACTAATAAAGGAATGAAATGGAGGAAAACCTGTCTCTTTCACATGCTAACACTTTCTGTTCTACTAACAATAGCTGCAAAGCAAAATACTTGAAGTCTCATGGAGTTGAACTTCAGTTTGTAGCTTCTAACCATTTATCATTTCTTCCCTGATTCAGTCCTTTGCATTTCTAACCTATCAACCATTAAGTTAATACTCACTCGTTAATATTGTCTATGTATTATTTACATAGTTCACAGCAAAGATTACATTACTTCTTGCAGCCAGATTCCTCTCTACTACAGGTACCCCCATTCTCCCAACCTAAATACTGTTGGTGTGCTATCACTTCCAAAGTTCATGAAATGGTATTAGGAATCCAGCTTGTGTCCTCTGTGCTCCCTACCACAGCGTTGCATCTTCTGGAGCTTTACTCACAAGTCTGGTATAGCAAAATTCAGCTGGTAATATTTACCACATTAGGTGGTAGACTAAAACTTCAGTGCAAAGTTCAGCACAAGAAATTGGGAAGAGAGAAGCATGCCATGGCTCTATTGACAAGTTTCCTGTCAGCTTCGCTAATAAAGGAGGGTTTCTGACACTTCTAAGCTATCATAGATTTGATCTGCAGGAGATTATTTTATCTGAAGTTACATTTGAATAGAAATATTAATCCTAGTGCTACTTCTGCACTCCACTAGTTTGAAGTCTCATACTTACAAAAACAAAAGCAAAACAAAACCCTACAAAAAAGAACAAACAAAAAAATTTCAGCAGTCTGAATCCTGACTGTAGCTGCGTTTCTCAGCTACATTCCTGCATGTTTTACAGAGTCCTTACTCTCCATCTAACAAAAGGTCATGCCTGACAGTACCCTGTTCATTAGCAAGCATATTTTCAGCTTGTTAATTACAGACTGACATGCTTTGTGTCGCATTCCTACTACCTTTAAGTATATTAAGAAACTGGTGACAGTTCTGAAAGGAAAGCGTTTGAAAACAGTTATTTATGCCTACTTTTTGCCACCACATACCTAAAATCTGATGTCGTTTCTTTCAGTTTGTCTCTGTATGCTTCTGCTCCATTCCAAGTGTCACATGACATATCTATCCAAGGCCTGAACAAAGTTATCTCTAGTTTTACAGTTTGGAATGCCTTGATGACTCATGTATATTTTAACATTAAATTCCTGCAACCTCCTGGAACGCTATTTAGTGTTAAGCATTGCTTTTCCCCAGCCCGAGTCTCATCATATCTTTAGGAATCTTTCAGTAAGTCAAAATCATTGGTCTGAGTACAAAAGCAACTCACTGACATTTCTGAAACTGTAACAAACAGAAAGATCAGTGTGATGGAATGGTGATACAGGAGATGTAACAACAAAGGGATGAGCAGAATGCAAAGGTGGTACAAGGAAAAGATGCTTACCAGTCTCTGAAGATCTAGGCTCACCAGGAAAACTCCACAAGGGAAAGATCCTCCAAGCAAAGATCCTTCCTCAGCAGCAGTCAGCCCTTAAGTGAGGTCTAAGAGGATGCAACCACGCTCCAC